CGTCAAAACCGCAGTAGATCCTCTACTAAGCCCACTAACTTACTAAACTTGGATTAGACTCTGAGGCGCATCACATTCAAAAGTATACCAAGTTCTGTTAAATAACTTCAGCAAACAAAGCACGACGTCTCTACTGATCTTTCTCGAGGACATCCTGTAAAAAGTGCACTCTTCCGATGTTCATGTTGAGAATGAAAACCTACTTCGGTGGGTTCTGTTTGGTCCCTAAATAACTCATACGGTATGTTTGGAAATGGCGTTTTCACCGGTACTCATTTTTTTCACAGTGTCTGTCACTTTCGCAAAACACAATACAACCCGTATATTCAATTCAGTTCAATTCAGTTTGAATAACCATTAACCATGCACTTTCTTGCTCCGGTTTTGGTTTCTGTTTTTTGGCTGCCCATTCCGATGAACAGTAGGGGAAAGACGGGGAGGTTGAAAGTAGAATCAAAGAGAAAATGGAGACTTTCATTGAACTAATGTTACAACGAAATTGAGAAGATGCATGAACGCCACTGTTTACGACATCCAGCCATATCAGTCAGTGTCTCTAACCATCGGTTACGATCAACCCGAGGTCCCCATTCGGGGAGCCTAACAGGACCTATGTGACCCAGATTCCTGGTTAGAGTTTTCATACCTTCATGCTGGGTCTTAGTACGACCATCCTTAGTTTTATTCCACTGGCTACCAGCCTGGGCGAACATTGCTCGCTGTAACAATCTATCTGCGTAACACATGCCCCAACCAGCGTAATCTATGGAGCTCGAATACTTGTTCCAGTGGGCGACTGTGATCATCTAAAACTCTGTGCCTAACCTCAGCATTACTCGTCCGGCTGCCCCCACCAGACTCTTGCAGTACGATGTAGACAGCGGTGTTCGGAAACCGATAATCTACTTTTATCCTGTTTTCCCGTAGTGGCCAAGTCTCTGCACCTTGGAGCAGCCCTGGCTGAACTACTGCAGCATATACTCAACCCTTCACGACAACCGGATGTTCCGACCGCGCCACAGTATGCACAGTATGCATGTACCATAAAGTAGCTAGCCAGTTAACACGGCGGTCTGTGTGCCTATTCCAGAAGCTCCATTTGAAAAACTATTCGGATCCCGAGTGCTTCTGGATAGAGTCATGACCCTGGAGGTCAGATTGTTGCAACTGGTCAATGATGATCAGTTGTGTTACGTCATCGGATCAGGTTAGTACTGTGTCTGTATTCGACACCTTGCTTATGAGATCGAATAAAGTCGAAACGGCCATACACTGATTGCTTCGGAGCCTTTTATCTCACGTTTCCTTTGCTTCATTTACGAAAAGCTCATTGAACGAGGCAAGCACCACAAGTCCAGTTCTATGGCTTAAACCAGCCTAGTCTGCCATTCGAACAGTTTGTTGTCAGTCTTCCACGCTCCTTGGGTTCCTTTTGGACGTGACCAAATCTCCTGGATCGGCAAACTTATTCTTTCCCCATTCAGCTGTGGAATTACATGTGACAATAGCGTTGGCGACTCTATTCTGGGGACAGATACTGTTTTTCCGTTTTCGGTTTGCATCGGCTCGTTCAAGCGTTTTCCAGTTTTTCCTTTGGTGTTTTCAGATTACCGGATTTTTCTCATTCATCTAGTTCTCCTCCTCCACCTTCTCCTTTTCCTCGGTAGAAACACAGACAACCGCCTTGCGAATAAGTATCCTGGACGCTGTCTGTTTACTTCAAACTGCACTCAATTCGTCCGAGGAAGTAGATAATCGTTTGGTTCAATTGCAGTTTTCACTCCAGTCTCCCGTCGCTTTACTGATCTCGGCCGCTTTGGTGGATGAGGAAAGTTCCGGCTCTGAGGCGTTATTCGAACCCGGGTTACGTCTATGGCGTAGCATGGTGACTGGTCCGCAAGCCACATGGTGTCCCGCAGTTGCAAGCATTTTCCCCCTCCTGGTGGGTGCTCAAGAAAAGAGTCAACCAGTGGGTGATGCTAGGTCCCTGGATTCCACTCGAGAACCGTTAATAAATCGGTTGGATTCGGCTGAACAAGCAGAGGTAAGTGTGATTTGATGGAACAACTCTGCACTATGTGGTCTGGTTCAATATGCAACAGGTGTATGGACTGTCCTAATGTATGTAGTGTGAATAAAATTGTTAGAAAACACAAACAATGCATAAATGAGTCTTCTGAATTCGGCTGAATTCGACAGCACTTGTAAAACCGGAATTTTATTTGGTGTTGTCACTTTGGAATAGCCGCTACGACCGGACTAGCCTGAACCGTGACCGAAACGGTACGTGCGGCAATACTGACCACCAACCGGGACCGTAACGATCCAGCGACCGAGTGAACAGTACACGAATTCCCTCGACTATGGTACCCAGCGAGATTCCCAAGAGAACCGGATGAACGCCCCGCGACAGTACAGACAGTAGTACGATCCCCGAAACCCGACCAGAGAGAAGACGGAGGACAGGCCTTCAGGCGAGGTTGTATATTTGGCTCGACCCAAAAGGCAAAAGCTATGGACAACTCATCTGTTTATATACAGTTTTGGGACCGACCCGCAATGAACTTGGAAGTTAGCTTGAAACTAGAAAGTCATGAAGGAATGGACCAATGGTCCTTGACTTGAAATATGCCGATG